CACAGCTATTAAGAGTTGGGACTTGAGTTTGGCTACTAAAACTGCCAGCTAGAGATATGGAGAATGCCCGAGGGCTCAATGGTGGAAGGTCAACCTGTGAACTAGGAGATTATGGTTCAACTCCAGGTCAGGGCATATGCCCGGTTTGCCAGCTTAATCCTCAGTGTGTGTGTGGACGAGGTGGGGGGACGGGGGGGGGGAGGGGCGGTGCAGGAGGCAGCCAATAGATGATGCTCTCTCATAATTGATGTTTCTGGCTCTCTTTTCCTCTCCCTTCCTTTCTGAAATCAATAAAAATATAGTTTATTAAAAAGATAGAATGAAGCACAGAAGGTCCAATCCCTGCCCATTTATTGATACAAGCATGGGCTTCCCATCAGCCAGGGCATACCACTACCTCCTTTATGAGCCAGGGAAAAAAAATAATTAAAAAATTACAAGAGTTTAAGTTCAAACTTCAGAAACCATGAAGGTCACTTAGCAGCAGAGGTTCTGAGGTTCTGTTCAACACAAATTCTTTGAGTGTGTGTGTGTGGGGGGCGGGGAGGGAGGGTAGAGGTGGGATAGGGAATCCGCTATTACTTAAACTGAAGTTGAGTAAACTTCATGAAGAAAAATGTCCTAGCTAAATTACTAGTGTGTTTTCTCTTGAAGATCCCTAAAGGGATTTATGAGAAGTAAGTCAAAGGACTTAAGAGGATTAGACACTATTATATTTAAAGTGCCCCTATAACATATTATTGACTCTAGCCTTGCAGAGGGTTTTAAATAGCTCCACTCCAACATATGCAGAAGGATTTAAGGTCCAAGATGTCTAATGAAGAGAAGAGGAGGTTTGAGTGGTGCCTGCTGCCTGCCATTAGACATTTGGAGAAGCATTTGCTGGAAGAGAAACTCGACCTTCAGTCTGCAGGGAGGCACATTTTATTTCAGTTTTAGGAAAGAACTTTCTGTCAGCTGAGCTGTCCAACCACAGAATGGGCTGCTCTCAGTCATTGCATGTGCTCATGCAGGGTGGGGGGAAGGGGGGGACAGTCAGCAGGTGGTGAGATTATTAGGGAGAAAATGGAGCCGACTATTCTACTTCTGAAGGCTTTTCATTTAACAGAATAAGTGCTGATTGAGCTACTTAACATTAGGAGTTGTTTATTTGGATAATTTTAATGTGTCTTAGAATCTAAACCTATAAAAAAAAATGCCAAAAGGGGAAAAACAAGTAAAGAAATGGATAGTTATCCATTTCAAGATTTGGAAATAATTAAGAACTGTTCTTTAGGTCAATGGAATCTATAAACAGATTTAACATTTTTGAAAATATTGTCAAAGTATCAAATTTCTATAGCTGTATTTGAGTGTAGTTAAAGGGAAGAAACAGGAAAAGTTTGTTCTTTTTAAAAAAAAAAAAAAAGAAAGAAATTGGCATAGAATTCAAAACACAAATTACTTTCTGATAAAAAAAAATGGTGAATTATCAAAAACAAACAAGCTAATAACTGAAGCCAGCCATAAAGCAAGCATGATGTTCATACTGAGATTATAAAATGTAGAGGCAAGTGAAGTTATGTCCAAAGGCTCACCATTAGGCTGGTCCTGCTATTCCCTGGGATGCTTGAATACTATTCTTTTGCACTGTGCATACTACATTCATCTATGGGAGCCTCAAAATATCTGTTCAATTAATGTCTAGATACCGATGAATTCCAATGTTATAATAAACTGTGCAAATTACATTGGGACTTTGTTTTTGAGCGTTGTGAACAGAAAACATGCTTCAGTAAGAGGCTTTGGAACACTCTTAACTACCTGGTCACTGTCATTTACTTTCTGTTTCCTTCAGTTTCCATGGAACAGCCCCTCTGTATCTAAAGGGGAATAAAGGAAGACAGTGTGCAGAGTGGAGCAATGCCACATGGAGGCTGCCATGGTGTTTTTAAAAAGAGGGAGCATGGGTTTCAAAAGGAAGGATTATGCAATGTCTATCTGGTGCCTTATTTTCAGCATTAAGGAAGCTCAGTCCTATCATGGTTCTTAATTTTAGCATCATTTACACAGGAAGTAAAACGTGACGGTGATCACTGGGAATTAGACATGCAGCACGGGAGAGAATCAGCTTGTTCAAGGGCAGGCTTCCAAGTGCAGAGATCGGATATGCTGGGTTTGCTGGGTTTTAGGAGACAGAGCGAATGTGGTCGTGCCAGGCTCACAGGCCTGCTAGAATTTGTTGTGTCGATTTCATAAATATTCACATTCGCAGAATGTGTAAGCAAGCATTGGAGGCTTATGCGATCCTAACATCTGGGGCTGGGCTTGCTTCTTCCTGCTCTTCCCTCATTAGGCTCCTCTTTAAAACCAGGGAGACATTGTTCCAGTGTGGTCTCCTTTCCTGGAAGTTGGGGGTGGAGATCCTGAAAACCCTGCTGCTTTTGATGTTTTGATAGCAAACAGTTCTGGCACAAACTACTCCAGAGGTAGAAGAAACGCCTCCTCTCAGGCTCTGTCATCCTCCTTTGATCTTTATCTGTTTGCAGTGTCATCGCCAAATCCATTCTCCAGAGGTTTGTGCTCCTCTCCTTACTGTTAGAGAGGGCTGGGAATCCTCCTTCTCCCCCGTTCCACAGAGTTCCTAGCTATTCCCTTTGACCAAAGTTATTCCAGAAAAATTAAAGAGGCTCAGAGGGTCAAAGGCTGTGTGTTTGCAGAACGGTGCTGTCCTTTGCGTGGGGGTCCTTAACAGTTTGGAACAGCAAAGAGCAGGGGAGCGGCAACTGCAGTGGTTTTCCTGGCGCATACTTCTCAAACTGCAACGGAAGCACTTAATAGCGTTTAATAGCTCGGAAAGGCTGGAGCCCTGTTGCCTAACTAAAGGCAGTATCTTGCAATCTGATGACTACTTTTCTGCACTACAGCTTGAGGAAACTCAATAGAGATTAAGGAAACGGCCCTTGGAGTCTCCCACCTTCCTTTTTCGCCCCATTTACTACCGTAGACTTGTGGTAACTCATAAGAAGCATTCAGGTTTAATCTGCCTTGTTTGACTTCATTACCTGGTACTCTAAGTATGCACATGTAGGCTTACTTACTGGAAATTATTGGTGGGTTCTGTCCTCCATATCAGCACATACTGCCTAGAAGATAAATCATAATATTAAGGGGATTTCGTATGTGCCAGGTGCTGGTTCAGGTTCTTCACGAATATTATCTCATTAGTCTTCACAGCAGCCTTGGGTGTGTGGTGTTATGGTCATCTCCATATTACAGATGAGGACTTCAAGGACAGAGTAGGTGAGTAAATTGCCCAAGGCTAGGGTGAGAATTTGAACAATGCAGCCTGATTTCAGAATTCATAGTGTTAATGACTACATCAATACCATACCAAAGAAATTTTACCTCAATGCTTCCAGAAGGTTGAAGCACCAGAAAATTAAGACAGTGGCTCTCCCCCCCCCCCCCCCCCGTGTCCCCTTTATGAAAAAAAAAAAAATAGGAGAGAAGAGAAAGCTTATCTTTGTAGTCTGGTAGACTGGTTTCAATGGTAATGTGTTTTAGGCATGTTACTAATTTCTCAAGACCTCAGTTTCTTAGTCAGTGAAATGGGGCTATGACAATAGCATCTGTTTCATAAGGTTGTCATTGACATGAGCTTATATAACGCATTTAGAAATTCCTGTCATGTTAGCTGTTAGTGTTTTAAAGCTACATTTAATCCTTTGTGGAAATAGAATGGTGACAGAAAAATGAACTTACTGTGTGGGGGGTTATATTAAAGCAATATTGTTTAATAGAAAAATAACCAGATGCATGAATTTTATTATTCAAGGCAAGTCCAAGGTCTAGATTCCACCAGTGGACTAGCTTTTCTACAGTAGTGTCAGTGGATCTGGAACCCTGGACCATTGTAAGGGACATGGTGTTGTAATGCAGTATGTCAGGCATTTATTACACTCCAGTGAAATTCATGCTTTCCAAGATTCTGAATTACAGTACAGACCCTGTGTATCGCCTCCTCCCTTACCTCTCCCCAGTTCTGCTTCAGAATGCATACTAGTCATGAATCTGGCACCAGTCTTGTCAAGTTAAATAGAAATAGAAAATCATGATAGTCATATAGAGGGATGAAAAATAAGTAAGATGACAATGCTCTAAGGATGTGGGAATTCTCCTGGGCAGCAAAGGCTCAACCTTACCCACGGAGTTCTGATGCCTCGGGGCATGTCCGAATGCAAGTGCCCAGCCCCTGAACTTCACTGCTCTAAGAGAAATTATGCGCTTTCCACCTTCAAATTGAAGAGTTCCCCTTTATCCTCTCACCACAGGATCTCAAGACAATCTGTGCCAACACAGCCAGCTCTCTCTTAAAGCCATCCTTAGCGAACGATGGGGGTGGGTATCTACACTTTGGAGAAACTCCATCTTTTATAGAAAGCATTCCGATTGGCACCTCCAGGGTTAAAGTTTTGTCGCAGAAAAGGGGTATCAAGTAGCTTCCCAGAAAGGGATTACCTCCCCCCGCCCCAATTTAGAAACTGCCTCCTTTAAAAGATAAGCCACAGATACATGAGTTTACCCTGCTTTCTATGAAAGGGATAACTCCGGGTTCCCAGGGCGTATTCCGCTGGCTGTCATCTATCTAATGTGTATATCAGGGTGCGGACGGTCAATCACCTTTATGAACAACCTCAGCGCGCCACCGAGATAATTGTAGTGTGGATACATTTGACAATAGCTCCGTTTATTCCGTGGTCACGTCAATCCAAAGGAAAGTGTTTATCTTATCATTCTCCCTCCTTGTCCTAGCCCCTCCCCCTGTGCCAGTTTCCCAGCCCCTCCAAGATGCTTTGTGCAAGAAAGTGCAAGTTTCCCCATTCTGGCCCTATCGATGTCCTCCTTCCCTCTCCTCCTGGCTCCCCCACCCACAAACCAAAGGAGCGGAGCAAATGGCCAGGGCTCTCCCCCAACGCCTGCCCCGCGCCCACCGGGAGGAGAGCGAGCGAGGGAGCGCGCATTCTGAGCAGGAGGCAGCGGCTCTCACTTCTCCGACCACAGGCTGCCTCCTTCTTCCCGGAGGCTGCTCCTCTCCTTCCAAACCCCGGGTCCCCTCCCCGGAGCAGGAGCTGCAGGCGCTGTGCCTCCCTCCAGCCACATTTGGTATGCACGAGCACGGCTGCAGGCAGAGGGGAGGTGGCTCTCTCAGGAAGGCTCAGTGGCTCAGGAGATGCCACTTGACTAGTCTCCCAAGTTCCGGGAAGCCTCTGCCCTGATGGAATTTGCAGATGCGGAGATGACCCTGGGAAGCCAGGGTCGTGGGGGACCCTTTATTTTCTAGGCATCGCTCAGGTTGGCAGTGTCTGCTTTTTATCCTGGTGGAATTGTGAAAGAGGGGGGTCATGAATCAAACGGATGCTCCTCGACCCCTAAACTGGACCATCCGGAAGCTGTGCCACGCAGCCTTCCTCCCGTCTGTCAGACTTCTGAAGGTACTGTAACTTGCTGCTTTGAGAAATGGCTCTGATTGTGCTTGTGAGGTCTCCACACCCAACTTCGCACGTGGTGGTGGGCCAGGACACATATTTTGGGGAGCAGCAATGCATGCAGTTCTGCATGACTCTGTGGCCCATGGCCTGAAAGAGGTTCTCAGGGGCCCCCAGCCCATGGTGTCAGGGGCGAGAAGGTGGTCTGAGCCACATTGGAGGATGAGAGGAATGGGCTTCCTGAGTGCTCCCCCACCCCTCCCAAATTACCCCTAAAATAGAATTAATTAACTTCTCTGGGCGGGTGGGAGCAGCAGTGGGAGTGAAATCTTTTACTCCCCTGTGTTTGGCTCCAAGGTGTGTTTTTTCCCTCCCTGGGGAAGCCCTTCGACCCACTTTCGCTTTAGATGGAACCTGAGAGAACAAAGGATTCTCCTCATTATTTAAAAAGTCCTGTGTCCTTAGGCGGGTGCGCAGGTAAAGACAAACAATGAACCTCATCCAATTGTGACTTTTTTTGGTGTGCTCTTGTTCTTTTAAAAAAGCAGCATGATCATTTTAGTCTCCTAACTGAAGTCAGTAGTGAGGAACTATTGTTAAATATATACTGAATGGTGCCTGGAGCGCTCTCTCTCTCTCTCTCTCAAGCTCTGAGTTACACAAAAGAATGGTACTACACCTGAGCGAGGACTGCTGCCATGTGTCTGTAGCTCTCTTCTGTCTAGAAGCAAATGCATTAAAGATACTGAGAAGCCCTCAGAACTCCATAATAACTCACCTTCATCATCTGCCCATGGGGAAATAAGTACAAATACAATATTAAAGGTGCAGAAAGCAAATATATACACACACACACACACACACACACACACACACACACACACACACACATATATATATATATATATATATATATATATATATATATATATATTATATATATTTTACCCCAAAAAGAACATGGCAACATCTATTTGGGAGAAGTGCTAATCTCTGCACGTCCCACAGCATTTGAAGTTAAAAAGGAAAGGCAAAGTTCTTAGTTCTCTTTTCCATATAAATATGGTATTTTTATTTGATGACCACTGGACCTTGAGAACAGTCAGCCATAATGAAATATTAAAGAACTGGCCCTGAATATACTACACTTGCAAGGTGTTTTGTTGTTGTTCTTCTTCTTTCCCAAGGCTGTGTTTTGGATGAGTCAAGTTTGTCAAGGGCAATTAGTTCTGTATGGCTAAGTGGCTTTTCATAAAGGAGTATATATGACCCACCTTCCGAGATTCCCTTATTCTGTTCAACACAAACTGCCCCCCATGTCCTGTACAAAATCCCATTGTATTGTTGTCATGGTGATGGTTTGTTTCCCTAAAGGAGTATTTAGGAGGAAAAGCAGGTTTGGGGATGGGGAGTGGGAGAGAAGCTTTCTTGGATGAAATGCTGTTCCAGTATTGTAACCATGTGTGTGGTAGGGCATGGAAAAGAATGAGACTGGGGAACTAACAAATAAATGAAGGTAAATTTCCCTCCAGAATCACTACTGAATCGAGGCTGTGGGGCAAAGAATGTTTTGGCAAATCCAACTATGATTGTGACAATTGATTCTAGCAATTTGATGTGCAATGAGAAGCATTTCTCGGTTCAAGTTAATCATTGACTTCTCCCCAAAATAATGTTTTTTAACTCACCAAGGAGCTGAACAGGTGTATGTATATTACCCTCAATCTACATTAACTAATTAATATTTTGTTTTTTTAATGGGAAATGTTATTCATCATTTATTTGTCACAAAACAGCAAAGAAGTACCTGTTTGAGGTAGATTATTTTCAGAAGATCTATCATCCTTTTTAATTGAAAGTACTGTCCATGCTATTTATCAGCAGACATTGTCAATTCTACACCATTACTGTTGTTGGCATACAGCTCAATCCTACCACCCTTGATTAATATCCTTTATTAACATGGTGCTGTATAATAACTCATTCAATAAAGTTACGTTAATGAGGATTCTTTCAGTATCCAACAGACAGGATGTATTTTACTAGAGAACTTCTTTTCCAAATGACATCTAGATTTTTGAAAGATCACAGCTATCCCTAGGAGACTTCAGATATTGAGCATATTTCAAGATCTTAAAAAATTAAAGCATTACCAAATTCTTTCAGCAACACTTAGAAAGAAATGAAAACTGCTTTTGTATATGAGTAATTGCAATGTTGACATTCTGGATATGAATGTTATATAATTTCCCCCTTCCCCCAGATTGTTGTTGTATTATCTTTGCTTTGTTAGTCCCTATGTATTCTTGCCTGGCTTTAATATTTCAAGTAAAATGAAAGTTCCTGAATAATCATTTGTGTCTTTTGATCAATATTTTCCCTGGTTTAGTCAGAAGTTAAATATTTAATAACAATAATTCTTACTATTCTTTCCTTACTTTCTGTTCCCTTTCTCCCTTCTCAATCTCTTGTTCTCACTCCCTCAGACTCCCACCCCCATGTTAATTTGATGGATGGATGCTCTGTAGTCCATTGAAATCCTAAGCTAACAAATCAAATTCTCCTATTCAACAGGTATATTTTCTTTTCTATCAAGCATTTCTCTTTACAGTGCCCATGCTGGTAAGTAAGTGCAGTGAAGTCATGATGACACAATCAGATTTAGCTAACCTCAGATCACTCACCATTTCTGAGCTCAAGCCATTTTCCCTCCCTATTTTTTTCCTTTAAAATGTGCGTTTCTTTGCTAACTTTTCTCAGTACCATGCTAATGTTCAGAAATGGTTTCATAATTCTGTTTCCTGTATTTCTCATTTCCCAATAGAAACAGGATACTAAAGAATCAGAGGGGGAAGGCCACTATCTGAAGCACAAATTAAACCTAATGAATGTTGGCATGTACTGCATATTCCTTCTGAAACATCTCATGTGTTGGATTGTCCATCTCAGAGCAAATTTTGAACATGCCAACCAACTCAAATTTCAAATTTGGGATAGCGTTTGGAAATAAGATTTGAAGACAAATTTTTGGACAGGCATATTGTGATGATAGCCAGAAGACAGAAGCTGTTTTCTAACGGCTACATTTCAAAGGGGATTCTTTCCAAACTATTTCTCTTTGGTTGTTTGCTTCATTCTTATGTGTTTCAAGATTTCATCTTACTATTAATCACGCAAAAAGTCAAGTGTATTTCAGTGACAGCATATTTCATATTCATTATCAGATCTGCCTCTGCCATTGTTTTACTTGGGAGATTTTATTCTGGTAACTTGTGTTGAATTTTAAGATTAATTTTAGGGCAGAGAGCTTTCTTTGCATTGAAGGCTTGGTGGACTTATTAAAGGGAAGCTTTGGCCTAACTGGTTTGGCTCAGTGGAAAGAGCGTCAGCCTGTGGACTGAAAGGTCCCAGGTTTGATTCTGGTTAGGGCATGTACTTTGGTTGTGGGCACATCCCCAGTGGGGGGTGTGCAGGAGACAGCTGATCAATGTATCTCTCTCATCTATGTTTCTAACTCTATCCCTCTCCCATTTTTCTCTGTAAAAATCTATAAAATATATTTTAAAAAATAAATGGAAGCCTTTTCAAAAATAGGTTGCATTGGGGGAAAGGAAAGCTCTGTACTTGTAGCAGATTTTGTATGCACATGTTAAAACCAGTTTGTTAATGGAGACCAAAAGATCAGTATGACTTTGGTATTTTCAAAGTTTTATACTAGGAAATAATATAACTTTGCCCACTTTGAGCAATGTTAGAAGGGGATTAAACAAATTACATTCTGGACTGTTGGGCCTAATCACTGGGTCCCAATTCTATTGTGTTCCTAACCAGCTGTGTAACGTAGGGTAGGTTACATAACCTCCCTGTAGCTTGGTGTCCATATCTTTAAAATGAAGAGTTTACATCTCAGCTTGACGTGGAACCAGTGCTGTGATTCCCTGCAATGAAGGCTGCCATGCCTCGTGGGCACCAAAGACCATGCTTTATTGGGGCTAAAAACAATTAAGCTGGATTAGATATTAAAATGGAAGTAGGACTAGAAAAACCATCATGATAGAGGGCCTTTCCAGCTAAACTAAGGCACTTGACCATTATCCTGAAAGCTCCAAGGTGCCAATGAAGAGATTTGAGCAGGGAGGTGACGCCTCAATTCAGATATTAAATAGTGTTTGGGGTGTCATGTCTAGAATGGATGGGAAATGCTGGGACTGAAAGCTAAGAGATGAGACTAGAAGCCTGGAGAATTAGTGAAGACCTGGGCTAAGGCTATAGTAATGGAGCAAAATTAAAAGGGCCTTGTTGAATTGTTTGCCTATGGTGGAACAAAGAATATAGGGTAACTTCCGCATTTGTTTTTGCTGTCTGATTGGATGGTGGATCCACTGTCTGAGAATAAAGATCCTGAGAAGGAAGGACAGAACTTCTCACTTTGTGGTTGGTTCTTTGGCAAGCTAGAAAAGGACTTACTGATTCTAATGAGACTGAGACCAATAGGAATACAATTCTGCAACATTGATGAGTATGAGTCACATTGAATGTTTGATAGAGGACCTGTTGGAAGTAAATCATATACAGTCAGTAATATGACTTCCAATTTTCTTAGATTGTACTTTTGTAACTTATACCCTGGCTTCTTATAAAACTATGCATAGTAAACTCCCCGTATTTTGGAATCCAGTCAAGCAACTCATTTTTGTTTTATTTTTTCTCTGTTCTCTCTTTACGTTACCAAAGAAGGATTAATAAAAGTGAACTGGGTAATACAAGGGAAATAATGGGAAGAGTAGTGATCAAGGTAAGCTACCGGATCACAAATTCTGCCAAGTACCTATCTTGTCTACTTTTGTAATTCCTTATAATAGTAATCAATATCTATTATATTGTCTCTCTTAAGATAGCAAGGTCCTAACAACAAAATGAATTGGATTTGCCTTCTACAGTTGATGCCAGGAATTCTAGAAAATGACTTCCCTTTTGTGTGTTCTTAGAAAGCAATTATATTGAGA